ACAGTGGGGAGGGAAGCTTCTCCTGCAGTGGGACCTGGGGCCTGGGCTTCTTCCAGGACAGCAGGTCACTTGGCACCTGGCACATTTGGCTCAGGCAGCTTTGGCTCTGAAGCTGTCAGGCTTCTAGGCAGGGGGTTGGGGACATTTGGCATCCAGTGGTCCTTTCCGAAGGCCTCCCTAGAATTGGGTGTCTGTTATCAACCTTCCAGAAATGGCTGGATGTCCCTACATGTTTGTTTTCTGTTTCTAACTCTGAAGGGCCATTCCCCAGGAGCCCGATAGTGCTTGTCTCAGGGAGGCCGGAGGCTGGGTGCTACCTTCTTATCTCCTTGTTCTGCTCTTTCTGTGGCAACCACATACCCCTTTTGTAATAAGGAAAAGTGATGAGGGAAGTGATGGTATGATTGTTGTCTTGGATCTGTGGTGAGGACTTCCCTGCTGGCCCAGGTTTAGTTTGCCCATTTTTGCATATTACAAACATCACTGAGCAGGACTAACTGGCCAAAAAAATAATCAGAACCAACAAAAAAAGGAGGGAGGCCAGAGGCACGTTTTAAGAAATTGATTGAAGAACGGCCGGGTATGATGGCTCATGCCTGTAATCCCAGCACTTTGGGAGGCTGAGGCAGGCAGATCACCTGAGGTCAGGAGTTCAAGACCAGCCTGACCAACATGGAGAAACCCTGTGTCTACTAAAATACAAAATTAACCGAGTGTGGTGGTTCATGCTTGTAATCCCAGCTATTCGGGAGGCTGAGGCAGGAGAATCACTTCAACCCAGGAGGCAGAGGTTGTGGTGAACCCCAAGACCTCACCGTTGTACTCCAGCCTATGCCACAGAGCAAGACTCCATCTCAAAAAAAAAAAAAAAAAAAAAAAAAAAGAAGAAATTGACCGAAGAGCTGAAGGAAGCAGGAAGCTGGAGCAACTTCCGCTTTCCGGGTGTTCCAGCGGGCCAGCCCTGGAGGCCGAGGCTTCAGAACTGATTGTTGTTCCCCTGGCAGTGGGCTGTGCTGCACAGACAGGGGGCCTGGCTGGCCACAGTGGGGACAGTCCCTTTTTCCTTCCAACTTGGCTTTCTGGGCTGGACATCAAACCAACTGCTGGCATTTGGGTCTCTCTACCAGGTTCTAGGCGCCTATGAGGCCCCCTCGAGGAGCAGCTCCTCAGTAAGTACCTGCCCGCACCCACGCATGTGTCGTCTCGGTGTGGCCATGAGTGTGCATGTGTGCGTATGGCCTATGTCCTTTCCCCTGAGATGCTCTTGCAACCTTGGCTGATTGTGTCTTCTTTTTCCTCCTCTTCTAGCAACAAACGATTGTGAGTATCCTTCTTCTCTACCTGTTGGGTTTGGGGGGCTCTCAGATGCTTCGGGGTTGACTAAATTCCAGGCATAGGTGGGCTGCTGCTGACCCAGAAGCCCGGATGAGCAGCCCTGTCTGGGATGGGGCTGCCCCACGTTGGTACCTTGCCATGGGGCGGCCTGTGAGGTCAGTGCTCATGGGAAGAAGGGAACTGGCTGGAGTCCATGGGGGCCAGGGTGGGGGCATGTGGGGTCCCCACCTTCACCCTCTGCCTCTTGCAGCCTCCATCAGCTAAGTATGGCGGGCGGCACACGGTGACCATGATCCCAGGCGATGGCATCGGGCCGGAGCTCATGCTGCACGTGAAGTCCGTTTTCAGGTGTGGAGCGCCTGGGCCCTGCCTTGTCCCCAGCCAGGGGGCCCTAAGGACTTTATGCCGAGAGGGGGCATTGTGCCCAGAAGCACTCGGTGGGGCCGTGGCAGGATGGCCTGTAAGCCCAGGACTTGCGTCCCAGTGCCTATGATCCCGCCAGGCTGGCCTGGGCTCAGGGAAGGTGGCACCAGTCCTGCCGCAGTGTGCATTGTTGAGTTTGAGTGTGTTCCCATCAGTTGGTGAAGGTAGGCCCAGTCCTCTCTCAATCAGAGCCAGGTCAGGGCAGGTAGCAACAGGGAAGAGGTAGCTGGGGCAGGCTTCCTGGAGGAGGTGCGGGAAAGGCCTGGGCCGGCCTCCCTGACCCTGCTCTGCCTCAGGCACGCATGTGTACCGGTGGACTTTGAAGAGGTGCACGTGAGTTCCAATGCCGATGAAGAGGACATTCGCAATGCTATCATGGCCATCCGCCGGAACCGTGTGGCCCTGAAGGGTGAGCTCCAGGGCCAGGGGCCAGGATGGGGCCCTAGGCGTGATTTCTTCTACCTCCCTTGGAGCTGACTCTGGTGGGGCCCTGAGGCTCTGATTTCAGGGCTCATCTGGCTCGAGAGCACCCTTGTGCTTGGAGGCTGGACGGATGCCACTGGCCCCTGCTTCCCTTCCTCCAGGTGTCCTGGGTCGTGGGGCAGAGCCCGGCCAATCCGTGGCCTCCTCCAGGCAGCCACTGCCTGCCCCTGAGTGTGGCGCCTTGATGCGGGGCCTGGCAGTAGCACCACCAAGGTCACCTTGCTAGCTCCAGCCTGGCCAGCCAGCCTGTTAGTAGTAAAGAGTGGTGACTTTCTCCTGCTCCAGAACCGGGGCGGGGAACGGCATGGCTGCCTGGCTGGTTGCCAACCTTTCTTCATTTGTTTACTTGTTCGTTCCTTTGCTCAGGGGCTATTCATGGAGATCCCTGAGCATGGAGCCCCGTGGGGCTTAGGCTGGAAGTTGCATTCTTGTGTTCCATGAAGTATTTTTGCTCCCAGTAAACCTGTGTTGTGTTCTGTAGGCAACATCGAAACCAACCATAACCTGCCGCCATCCCACAAATCCCGAAACAACATCCTTCGGTGAGGCCCAGGTGTACAGGCCGGCGGCTTGGCGGGGCTGGGGGCTGCCGGTGGAGTCTGGTTCCAGTCAGCCGCCTGTCAGGCCTAGCAGCCTCTTTCTCTGTCCCCTCCCAGCACCAGCCTGGACCTCTATGCCAACGTCATCCACTGTAAGAGCCTGCCAGGTGTGGTGACCCGGCATAAGGACATAGACATTCTCATCGTCCGGGAGAACACAGAGGGCGAGTACAGCAGCCTGGAGCATGAGGTGTGCATGGGGGCTGGGGGCGAGCCCCACTGAGGCCAAGACTATGGGGAGAGCTTAAGGAACCAGGGACAGGCCTACCTTCAGAGGGCAGGGGCCATCCCCGAGGGAGAAGCTGGGATACGCAGACAGGGCTGCTTCCTACTGGAGCCATCGCTGCTCTCCAGGAGGACATGGTTCTCTTCTCCTCGTCCTCTCCTCAGAGTGTGGCGGGAGTGGTGGAGAGCCTGAAGATCATCACCAAGGCCAAGTCCCTGCGCATTGCCGAGTATGCCTTCAAGTTGGCGCAGGAGAGCGGGCGGAAGAAAGTGACGGCTGTGCACAAGGCCAACATCATGTATGTCCCCTGTCCCCTGACTGCTCTGCAGTGGTTCTGCTTGGGCCTGCTCTCAGGGATCTGTGGTCCTAAAGCCCAGCCACCCACCAAGGGGCCACCCCAGGTGTATGCCCCGTTGTCCCCAAGGCCTCACCAGAGCCGACAGTTAGGGGAAGTGGAGTGGGATTATGTCCTTTTTGCTGGTGAGGGACAGGTTAGAAGTCAGACCCCAGCCTTCCAGGGCCCTCTGCACACCCTTCCCTCCGGCTGACTGTTGTGATGGCCGAACTGGTGTCCTGTCCCTAACCCCCACCAGGAAACTGGGCGATGGGCTTTTCCTGCAGTGCTGCAGGGAGGTGGCAGCTGGCTACCCCCAGATCACCTTCGAGAACATGATTGTGGACAACACCACCATGCAGGTACTAGCCTGCCCAGTGCCATCCCCCTGCCTTGGGTGCCCTGGGCTTCTTGCACCCGTGCTCCCAAATCTGCCCCTCAGCCAGCCCCCTCCTTGACCCGCAGCTGGTGTCCCGGCCCCAGCAGTTTGATGTCATGGTGATGCCCAATCTCTATGGCAACATTGTCAACAACGTCTGCGCGGGACTGGTCGGAGGCCCAGGCCTTGTGGCTGGGGCCAACTATGGCCATGTGTACGCGGTGTTCGAAACGGTGAGTGCCGGCAGTGGCGCCGTTCTCCTGTCCGCAGACACACGGAGGCGCACTCTCGCCCCACCCGGGTGGTCCTTGCAAAGTGCATGATTCAGCATTACCACCCTGTCATCCCAGAGCATTTTCACCACCCCACATGAGCTGTCTGCCCTCACACCCACCCCAGCCCCTGGTACCCACTAATGGGCTTTTGTCCCTGTGGAGTAGCCACAGGAGTGGTCACCACCCCACATCCTTGCACCCTGCACCCACTCTCCATCCTGCCTCTTCCAGGCTACGAGGAACACTGGCAAGAGTATCGCCAACAAGAACATCGCCAACCCCACGGCCACCCTGCTGGCCAGCTGCATGATGCTGGACCACCTCAAGTGAGTGGCTCCTGGTGCCCCCGGTGCCCCCGGCCAGCCCACTGGGCCCTAGGGACTGAAGGCTGGCTGTCCCATCCTCTAGGCTGCACTCCTACGCCACCTCCATCCGAAAGGCTGTCCTGGCGTCCATGGACAATGAGAATGTGAGGCTCCCCTTACCCCCTGCCCTGCTGCCCCCGCCAGCCTCCCTCTCACACTGACCACAGTCCTCAGGGGAGGGTGGTACTAGGTCTGGTAGGGCCTATGGTCCTTAGCTGGTGCCACTGCCCTCCTGGTGGCAGTCCCAGCCTCTATAAGGCACAGGAGATAGCAGGTATCCCTGGGCTACCAGTGGCAGGGGTGACACGGTTTGGCGTGTGCTGAGCCTGCCTCTCTCCTACAGATGCACACTCCAGACATTGGGGGCCAGGGCACAACATCTGAGGCCATCCAGGACATCATCCGCCACATCCGTGTTGTCAATGGCCGGGCTGTGGAGGCCTAGGCTGGCCCTGTAATCTTCTCGGTTTGCTCCTCAGATCCCCCTTCTCACTCCAGCATCCCAGCCAGCCTGGTAGGCAGAGCACAGAATAAAGCAGCTTCTCCGCAGACTTGGCGTGGGCCTCCCTCACTCCAGGCACTGGTGTTCAGACCACACTTTATTAAGAAAGGAACACGCATACCTCCGAGGCCCTCCCAGGGGTCTCAGGCAGAATACGTTCTGAGAGCCGGGCCTGGCAACAGTGTCCGTCTGCCCTGCTGTTGAGGGGAGCTGGCGCCCAGCAGGGTGCGGGAGCTGTCCCGCTTTCCCTCTAGGCTTGCAGGGCTGGGGGCGGAGCCTTGGCTGCCTAGGGGTTGAGCCAGGGGTGCTGGAGGCAGTCGGCTGCGCTGGCCCGCTTTTCGGGGATGTACTCCATCATGGGCAGCAGGAAGGCGCTGAACTGTGTGGCCTGCTCCAGGGGCCACTCATACTTCTCCATCAGCACCTCGTACAGGCCCCAGTGCTTGAGATTGTGGATGTGCCGCAGCTCTCCTGCAGGCAGGCCGCGGGCGTCAGGCTCCATCTCTGTCCCGCCGCCTGCCTGCTGCTTAGGCCCTGGCTCCTGGGACGCAGTGTTCCCGCTGTTGCAGAGGCCAAGGTCCCCATCCCACCCTCCCTGCAGCTACCTGGCCTGAGCCTGCCCAGGCCCTCACCTCTCCGGTTGAAGAACTCCCGGGAATAGCGGCCCGAGAGGGCGAAGGCAGGGGGGATGTCCCCCAGAAGCTCCACGATGTGAGCGATGTGGTCTGTGGGCAGAAAGAGGAGGTTGGGGGCGGGCAGGAGGCCGGGAGACTGAGCTCAGGGCTCACATCCCCTACCCTCATCACGACTGTAGTCTTCTCCAGAATGTGGCTCGAACAGGTAGTCTCCAGTCGCCAGCTCGAAGGCCTGGAAGGGGGAGGAGGTGAGGCTGCTGGCCGGTGGGCTGGTGGCCCTGGGCACAGGGCAGTCTGGGCGGGCGTACCATGCAGGCCGTGCTCCAGATGTCCGCCGGGGGGCCATACTCGGCGCCAATGAGCACCTCGACGGCCCGATACTGCCGAGTCTGGATGTCCTCTGTGAAGTGCTTGTGCTGGAGGCAATGGGAGCCCTGGGACTGGGGCAAGGCTGGCTGCCCCCACGGACCCTACCCCACCCGATCCACGTACCCAAGGAGCTTGGTGGCGCTTGCTCTGAGCCTCAGGGTCCCCAGATCTCCCAAGAGGGACAGGCCAGGTGATCTGAGGCAGAGGCTGACCTCTTCCTAGTGGCCTCTGCCCTTCGCCACGGCCCAGTGCTAGTGACTGGTCAGGACTCATGCCGAACCATCTGATGGTTCACGTGCACTACAGGCCGGGCCGGGGCTCCCCAAGAGTGAGCCTGTGCCTCCACCCTTGGACCAGGGTCCCCCACTCTGCTCTCCCAGGCTTGCTCCTACCACCCAGCAGGTTCATACCACCCAGCAGGCATTGCCCAGGTCTGCGATCTTGATCTTGATTTTATCTGCATTTTGGGGCTCCAGGGGGTTCACCAGGAGGTTTGAGGCACCGAATGGTGCTGGGGAAGGAAGAGCAGAGAGACTGAGCCGCTTTCACTCCTGCCAGCCCTGCCTGCCACCACCTGCCACCCAACTTACTGCTGGGCGACAGGAGGCCCCCGGTCTCGCGCTGATTGGATGAGCCGGAGAGGATGGAGCAGGAGGCAGGAGAGAAAAGGGAGCCGGAGAAGCCTGAGGTCTGTGAGCCAGGGCTGAGGCTGCGGCTGCCCCCTGGAGCAGGGGAGGAGGAGGCTGGGGAGGGGCCTACCCTGGTGCCCCCAGGGTGGCAACCCGAAGAGGAGGTGGAGCCGCTGCCCCCCTCTAGTCTCAAGCTGGAGTCTGGGGAGACGAGATGGAGGTGGAGGGTGAGCAGATTCTCTGCAGCCTGCGCTGCACTCCGCAGCCCGGCACCCACTGTGGCTCCTCACCCTCGGCCTGGGCCGCGGCCTCCATGGCCTCCAGCCTCTGCAGGTCCCGCAGCCGCTCCTCCAGCAGCCGCTTCTGCTGTTTTCGCTTGCGCCTCATCTTCTTCCTCTTGTTTTTGGACAGCTTACCCGTCTGCCGTCAGAGCCAGGGTCACCCCAGGGTTCCTATTGCCCGCCCCAGTCAGTGTCAAGTGGAGGTTTCCCTGCACGGCTGCCAGGGAAGAGGCCTCCGGGCCCCAGGGCTCCCATGGATGCCAGAATGGGTGCCAGCTCCTCACTACTGTCCCTGCCTCCCCGCCTGTGGCCCAGCTCCCCACAGCTCCATTAGGAGTGGAAGGACCTAGCTGGCCTGCCTCAGGGTGCTCTCTGTCCCCTCCCAGCCCCAGCTAAGGCAGCCAGAAGTGGCCATTCAAGGAAGACAGTGTCCTTTCACCAAGAGTAGTTTGGGGCACATGACCCACCCCAGGTATCACCCTCAGCCCAGCAACCCAGCCTTTTGGGAGTGCCACTCTGGGAGTGTGGGAAGGTGGGGGAGTGGAGCCAGTGTGGCCCTGGGGTGAGCTCTGAGATGGCCTTTGGTTTGCTCAGATGGGAGAGGATGCAAGGGAGAGAGGGGCCCCCCAACTTACCAAGGCCTCCTGGGGGGCAGTGCTGACTGGGAGTGCAGGTGGGGAGCAGGGGGACAGGAGGATTGGAGACTCAGGCAGGGGCTCAGGCCCAGAGACCCTGACCCCACCCCATGCGGGCCCTTGGTACCTATGGAGCGGGAGGGGGGTGGCGCCCCTGCCTGCTGCCACTCGGTAGCCTCGGCTGCCAGGCGCCTGACGTAGGCATCCCCCACACACAGCAGGATGTTCTCAGGCTTGATGTCTGTGTGGATGATCTTGCACTTGGTGTGGAGATAGTCCAGGCCGCGCAGCACCTGCAGAGAGCCGCACGTGACCTGCAGCAACTCCTGCCCAGGCCGAGCTGGGCAGCCCAGTGGGCAGCACTCACCTGCCTCACAATGCTCTTCACGCAGGGCACAGGCAGGCCCTGGTAGTTGGACTTGATGATCCATTTGAGGAGCTGGTGGCCCAGCACCTCCAGCACCATGCACACATCTGGGCTGGGAGTGAAGGGTGGCCAGCGGGCAACAGCTGGGGGAGCAGCAAGGCTCGGGCCATGCAGAGGTGGGGAGGCAAGATGTGCCCTGGGCAGTCCTGGTCACCATTACGCTGGTGTCATTGATAGTGTCCCTGTCACTCTCGACAGGTATGCCAGTTGGGATAATGCATTTTGTGGTCATCCTAGAGGAGCAGGCACAGAGGCCTCTCGGGACAGCCCAGTCCCACGCCAGTCATGCCATAGGGCCTCTTGGCATCCCCCAGAGGGAAGGCAGTGCTAGAGAGGCAGCATCTGCCATTTGGGGTAACAGCAAGGTCCATGGGTCATCACTAACTTGTCACCACAACGTAAACACCGTTACCCAAAGGGGCAGGGTCGCATCAGAGACTCGAGGTACTGGGAGGGCTGCAGTGAGGACCCCGGTTCACTGGCTCTTCCTGCAAAGGATACGGACTCCATTGGCTCCTGAGACCCTGAAGTCATCAATGAGCTGGACAATGGTCTCTCTCTTGGGGTCACTGGGGTCACTGTCCCGGACCTGGAAGAAAAGCAAGGGTCCACAGATGCTTCCAACCTGCCCTCTCCAGCAGCTCCCTTCAGTGTACCCTGAAGCAGCTCTAGCCCCCACTCCTGCTCCAGCTGCGCCATGCTGGGAGAAAGGCCACCAGCCCCTCCTGTCCCTCATTCCTCCAGATCCTCCCCTTCTGGCCCAGCCAGCTGGAGGCTGCCCCTGGGGGAGCCCCGCCCTGCTCCGCAGAGCCCCGGCAGGCCCTGCACCCACATTGCCAGGCCCCAGGAGCTGGGAGTGGGCAGGGGAGGCGCCTCACACATTTCAGGAGCTTGATCTCATCCACAGCTGTCTCCGTGTAATGCCCTGCACTCTTCACCACTTTTAGGGCCACAAAGCGCTTGCGCCTGCAATACCGAGACCCTTGTAGGTTGTGGCCCTAGCAGGAGCCACGGTGGGGATCAGGTTGGCCCCAACCAAGCCCAGGGACCGGATCCTAGCCAGCTGGGTCCAGGGGGGCAAAGGAGGCACTCACTGGATGTCCCAGCAGAGCCAGACGGTAGAGAAGTGGCCCCAGCCCAGTTTGCGCACCACGTGGTACCGCCCATGGAACAGGTCGCCGATCTTCACAGGGTAGTAGCCGCCTGCCAAGGGGTGGCGATAGATCAGGGCGGTGGGGGTCCTCCCCTGGGTCACTCCCCTGGGTCCCCAAACAGCTTGGCCCCACTAGCCATCTGGCCTATGTAGGCCCAGGCTGCCCTGGGTCCCTGCAGTGGCCATAAGGCCACATGTGTCCAAGGCCAAGCCTCACCCTTGCAGTAGTCCTTGGGGTCTTCCTGTTCCTCGTCATCGGAGCCCAGAAGCCCCTGAAGCATCTGAGGCGCCGGTGTGGCCAGGGCTGGTTCAGAGCCCGAGGACTCGGGCCCACAGGAGGCCTGTGAGCTGTGGGTGGGGTGGGTGGGCAGTGAGTGTGAGAGAAGACAGGGGCCCTGGGTGCCCGGGCCGAGCCCTACCTGCTGCTGCTGCTGCCACTGTCCCCACCACTGCCTGTGCTGGCGCTCATCCCGGCTGCGCTGCGCAGCCAGTAGCTCCGGTGCCCTGGGCGGCTACTCCTGTGGGGCCCGGCCGCGGCCTGTGAATTTATAGACTCGGCCGGCTGCTGATCTCACCCGCCTTTATAAATAGCCTCCCAGCTGCTCGGCTGTGGGCAAGGTATGCAGCACGGGGAGGGGGCGGCGTGACAGCGGCCCAGAGAGCCCAGCCCCCGGGCCAAGCCCCCTTCCTGCTCCAGACCCACCCTGGAGGCAGAGGGGGCTATTGCTGGGGGACCAAGGGCAACTGGACCCCCAGGCTGAGCGCCTGCACCTGAGCTGAGTGGGAGGTCCATGCAGGGGTGAAGTAACCCATACCCCAGGCCTAGCTCCTGTGCTCCAGTGCCTACCTCGGGGACATGCTCCACTTGGCGATCTGGTCCTTAGGCCAAGCCCCCACCACCCATGCCCCTGCGGACGTCCTCCTGGATGTGCCCCTCGCATTCCCATGGGAACTCCATCCCTGGCCGCTCACAGCTGCTTCCTGCTTCTACTGCATTTCATCAGCTTCTAGGACATGTGGGAGCCCCATGCCTTCTAAATGTGGCATTACTAGGGACCCCTCATTTCCACTACCAGAGGCACCAGGCCTGCTGAGGGGAGGCCTGGGAGCTTGTCAGCCCAGAACCTGCTTCTGTGGCCCTGCCTGGCATTCTGGCTCCCAGCACCTGCTTTCCCTCTCCACCATTTGCCAAGTGCCTGCCGTGGGCTCCTCCATAGCTGGACATGGGGGAGACAGCAAGAAGTCACTTGCTGTTGGGGACAAGCAAACCCATAGCCACTTTCCCATGAGTGTGGTGGTGACTAAGGGGCCTGTGACCTGGAGGCTGCATCTTGAGAGAACAGGAGAAATTGGGTCCCCAGAAGCATCCGGGGCAGCACAGGGCACAGCTCTCGACGTGCTGGTCACAGTGGCTGAATGGTTCGGGGGCAAGAGCTAGAGCACTGGAGTCTGTGAGTTCATGTGGAGCTTGGGCCTGCTGGAGGAGTCCCAGTGAAGGGGACGGTGCTTGGCAGGGAGGGGGCTTGTCCCAAGACATAGGTGCAGTGTTCCTGAACTGGCACTGGTGGAGGGGCTGCCTTCCTGTGGGGCCAGGGAGGTCGAGGGGAGAGTGAAGCCCGGGTACCTGATGGCCTCCCTCTGTCCATGGGCAGCAGGTCATAGCCATGGGGCTGAGGGTCTCCCAGGTCAGGAGAGTACTGAGTCAACTCGGACAGGGAAAAGCAGGGGCTGGGGATTGGGCCCTTTCTAAAAAGACATTTCTGGCTTGGTGGCTCATGCCTGTAATCCCAGCATTTTGGGAGGCCGAGGCGGGCAGATCACCTGAGGTCAGGACTTTGAGACCAGCCTGGCCAACATGGCAAAACTCCATCTTTACTATAAATACAAACATTAGTCGGATGTGGTGGCAGGTGCCTGTAATCCCAGCTACTTGGGAGGCCAAGGCATGAGAATTGCTTGAACCTGGGAAACAGAGGTTACAGTGAGCCGAGATCACACCACTGCACTCCAGCCTGGGAGAGCGAGACTCTATCTCAAAATAAAAAGACATTTCTATTTTATTTCAAGATGTAATGTTCCAGCAGGCAAATAAATACAGTGGGAAGAGGGGGAAGGAGGGGAATCCTTATAAATTAGAAACAAGCCCAGGTAGGGGAAGGCAGGTGGGCTGGCTGGCAGGGGAGGTGGCAGGCAGGGAGCCCACTGCTGGGCACAGTGCCTGGCTGTGTACCCTGCGCCCCTGGTTCTGCTGGTTCCCCTCGGTGGCTGGCTCGGTTTCGGGGTTGTAAGGCACTGCGGTGGTGCTGGATCCGGCTTGCTCACAGGTCAGTCACTTTGTTCTCCACCAGGGCAGCGACCTGCTGCAGGCGGCAGGCCAGCTGCAACTTCTGGCCCACAGGGTCCTCCTCCAGGGCACTGATAATCTGCCCGGGCAGAGGGTTCCTGTCTGAGCCTGCCCCTCTGTCTGCTGGACCAGGGCTGCCCACCCTGCTTCCATCTCCACGGGAGCCTGGGGGTCCAGTGGGGGCTGCCTGGTGTCTCCCTGAGAAATCTGAATGAAAACCTGAGGCCCTTCCCCAGCCTGGGCCCCGCCAGCATAGAGTGGCAGCCCTGCTCCCCTCAGAGCATCCACGGGCATCCCTCCCCACCGCACCTCCCCTCCAGCGTGCCCTGGCTCACCTGGTCGTAGCACCTGTGGATGTGGTTGTAGAGTTCTTGCAGAGCCTCCAGACAGTGGGGGGCAGAAGTGTAGTTCTGGGGGCACCACGTAGAGGGAGGCAGTGAGGTCCCAGCCTGGTCTTCAAGCCCCAAGCCTTCTCCTCCTGCCCCCGCT